GGGGGGGGGGGGGGGGAGGCGCGCAGTAGCATCATTAAAAGTGTTTTTTCATGCTTTATACTAATTTCTTTTGCACATTGGATAATACTCATAGATTTTAAAGTTGTCATTAGAAGAATGAGTTTTATATTTTATCTAAATAAACTTTATTGGGGAGTGGTCCAAGATAGCATTCAGTATTACCCAGTGGTATGCCGTTCCTGATAGAGTTTAGGAAACAGTTGGGCTTTGTCTGTGAAAGATAGCAGTCAGACACACACACTGGTTTTGGTTATGTGTGTATATCAAATAACCAGACAGATAGAGATAGCCACATGGAACTGTTAATCCACATTTCTGTTTTTAATGTAGTCAGTGGTAAGATGTAGTATTACCTTATTTTCTCCAGAATGACAGTGGTGATACCTCAACCAAAATAAATGACCATTCTCACATGAACTATCACATTTAATGGAAACAAATTGTCATGAAGAGAAAGGGGAAGGGACTTAGGAATGGAGGAGGATTCAAAGACTATAACAGGAGTAAAAAATATCTCATACTGAAAGTGGGAGTGTGATCATGGTTTTGAGAAACACAGAGAGGGGCTTCCATGGTTTCCAGGGGAGTACAGTAAGTCTCCTACACACAGACCTTCAAGTTGAGAACTTTCAGAGATGTAAGCGTGTGTTCCATCAGTGTCAGGCATGGGTGGCATTGCAGCTTTCCCTCCGTCTCCTATTGCTGACTGTCCTTCAGCTCTCCAATCTCCCAGCTCTTCTCCCTCCTCCAGTCCTTCTTGCCTGTTCACTCGATGCCAGCCCTTGTATACCAGCTGTTGTACTGTACTACTGTAGTTTTCAAGGTACTGTCCTGTAAGGTTAAAAATGTTTTATTTTTGTGTGTTTGTCTTTTTATGTATTATTTGTGTGAAAGCTAGTATAAACCTATTACAGTGCAGTACTATACACCTGATTGTGTTAGTTGGGTTCCTGGGCTGACTTTGTTGGACTAATGATCAAATTAGACTTACGAATGCTCTCTCAGAATGGAACTTGTTTGTATGTAGAGGATTTACTGTATTGTAAAAGGGTGTAGGTGTTTTCTTGGGACAACACTTGAGACCTTCACTGTAGAGGACAGGTTGTACGTGGTGCTGCGTCCATAGGGGATGAACAGGAATCACTAGATTTCCCATCCTGGTGTACCCAGGAAATGGATTGGCAACCTGGAATGCCACTTTGGAAAGTTTGCTGATGCATGAGTGTAAGATAACATTTATGTGAACAGAAGATAGAACTGGGAGCATCAGCTGGCTGGGAATGAAATTGTAGGGAGATGGTGTTGACATTTGTTGCTTTTGTTGTTTAGTCGCTAAATCTTGTTCGAACTCTTCGTGACCCCATCGACTATAACCCGCCAGGCTCCCTGTCCTCCACCATCTCCTGGGGTTTGCTCAGATTCATGTCCACTGAGTTGGTGATGCTATCTAACCATTTCATCCTCTGCTGCCCACTTCTCCTCCTGCCCTCAATCTTTCCCAGCATCAGGGTCCTTTCCAGTGAGTGGACTCTTTGCATCAGGTGGCCAAAGTGTTGGAGCTTCAGCTTCAGCATCTGTCCTTCCAATAAATATTCAGGGTTGATTTCCTTTAGGATTGGCTGGTTTGATTTCCTTGCAGTCCATGAGACCCTTAAGAGCCTTTAGCATTATTAGCAGCACCACAACTCGAAAGCATCAGTTCTTCGGCACTCAGCTTTCTTTATGGCCCAACTCACTGACATTTGTTAGAAAGTTAAAAAATAAATGCATTATCAGAACTTTCATTTGCCTGAAGAGGAAATAGCCTTTGCAAAGTTTTTAGATAAAGAGTAAATATATCCCTCTGTAACTGTATAATTCTTACTTATGTAGTTTCTTAAAGAAGTTTGAAGCTGTGGGGGTAAAGCCATGATAATTTAGACAATAAAATAAAATTCTATATAAATATGCTGTCCTGTTATTGAGTGGCAGTGATGACTGAGTGGGGTCCCCAGGTCCTTTCAACTCTAGTTCCTGTAATTAATCATCCGTGTCTAAGCAGAAGTCCCCTAGCATCCAGGAACCAGTGAGAGGGAAATGTCATTCCCAGTGGTAATTAGACATTTCTAAAGCCAACAGTTCTTTCAGATCTAAAGCAGGTTGTGAAGTTAATTAAATAAAAAATAATTTTTTCTGAAAAAAAGTGTAGTTTTTGGTTATAAAGTTCTAAAATGACATACAAATGATAGATATTTTTGTATGTTGGAGGAGTGTATTTTTTAAATGGTGAATTGAATTAAATTTGTTAGCCAGTGCATCTGTTTGAACTATTTTATAGACAGTTATTTTTTAATTACCTTACTATTTTCTGTTTATAACCTATTTTCATCTTGTAAACACCAACAGAAGGACCTGGTGGGTTAGCCAAGAGAAAAACCAAGGCTAAAGGTATTTTCTGTTTTTCAAATTAGCCTTGAGTGAATCAAGTTTAATGCTTGAAAATGCATGACAGTTTATAGATGTGTTTTGTAGACGCGGCTACTAATGCTAAACGTTATCGCTTTTTGATTTTGGGTGCACTTCTGGTCATAAGTAGTTTTATCAAGATTTCATTAAAGAAATTTCTGCCTCAGGCTTTTAAGTAATTTCCTTTTCAAATGATCAAAACCTTGTAATAGTCTTTAAAGTACACATATTAAGTTTGCAGTATACACATCCTACCTTTCTTCTAAAACCTTTCTTAGTCTAAATTTTTTAGTTAAGTTGGAAATACAGATGAATTCATCAGCGATTGATTTCATTTCTCCAGAAGCTGTTGATGCTGCCTCAGAGCACAATTAAAGCTAGTGTGATCAAACTTGTAATTTTCAGTAAAGTGAAAACTTATAATCTGGAGCACTGCATTATGCCAGCATTTAATTTGCTATATTTGCTATTTTAATTAACTGAAAATCATTACACCCATTAAGCATTCTGTATGGTCTAACACTTATTATTGCAGTCTTATTTTATATCCCCATGGTTTTTCTTGTTCACTTGAAACACTTGTAAATATTTCTGTCCTTTAGGGAGAGGGGCATGGGGAAAGTGCATGCTTTTTATACATATATATATATAAACTTATAGTATTTTTTTGTGTTCAGTGCTTGTCACGTTGTAGTTTGATTTTGGTGAAACATTAACAGGTCAGACTTTTACTGTGTGGTTTATAGGGTTTGTGATTTGTGCTTTAATTTTAAGATGAAGAAATTTTAATGTTTTAACTTTAGTATCCCACCTGAATAATTCCTGGGAAGAAAACAGAATTTTTACCATTTTATTCTTATGTAAATAATTATGAAATAAATGGCCAATAAAGTATACTTTTACTCCTTAATCTAGAGAGGCAAATTCAACATTAAAGATTTAATATTTTAAAACTGTGTGCAGAGTAAGACCTGCCAGCTTTGTACTAGCATTTTGCCTTTGCCAGCGACCTTTTCTGTGTTACTCTGAATGGCGTTGAAAGAGAATGAAGACTCTGAGGATGATTGGTGATTTATGAATTCTATTCTGTATTTTTAGGAGGTTTTAATAAAACTGTCAGGAAGAATTGAGTAACATTTTGTACTTGCATAAGTTTAACATGATTCTGATGTGGAGAAACATCTTCCACATTTTATTAAAGAAATCTCTTTTTTGTTTCTACTTACATGCTACACTATACAGTGAACACCTGGCTTCTCTTATGATTTCTTAATGAGAGAAGCAAGAAGCTGATATTCAAAGCTTTCGCAGTCAGGACTGTTAAACTTTATTTAAAGCAAGTTGAAAGCAGCACCTGTTGTGAGATTTGGAGCACCTGTAGATTCCATTCAATTGTTGTTTCTCCTGTGAGCATGGACAACACAGGTGTTATCTTGGAGTGGCGCTACATAAAATAGCAGAAAATATACTTAAAGGAATACTGATTTCATGATGTTGAATAAGAGTAGAAAAGATGTTCTCTTTGTCATTTTAGATACTATAGATAACAACCTTAAAATTTCATATTCATGGAAATTGTATTTTTCTAAACTGAGAAAATTAGATGGTATTTAACTTTTCATTGGTGCAATATATTTGTTTCCAAGGAATGCAAATGCAAATACTTTAAGGACATAATTTTTTGTTAGAGCTAAAGATTTTTAAATTATCTTTGTGCAGATACTTGCAAGTTATAGAAAATTTGTTATTACATTGCCAGTGTTCCTTTAATTATGTTGTTAATAGCTGTGAAATGTGAGTCGTTAACACTGAGTAAAGTGCTGCCTTTGTGGATGGGCTCATTTTATTAATTTTGCATGTTAACCTTGTTTTGAGACAAACACACAATGTTGCAAGCTAGAAAAATATGATGGTGAGTTTCTAGCATTTCTTTTATAGCTGATACCTCATAGAGGTTTGCACTGTTGTTAGCCAGTTTAAAACTAGTGGATGAAAGTCACTTTTTGAATGATCGTCTCGTGTGTGGGGAGATAGAAAAAAAGGTAATACTTTTGCACTAAGTTGCTGTCTATGAATTGAGATGCCTTCAATAAACATTCTTTCCTTTAATTGGAAAACCTGAAAGTTAAAGAACTCACTAAAGAAGAGCTCAAGAAGGACAAAGACAAGCTGGAGTCAAGGAAAGAAAGTAAGCATGAAGACAGAAAAAAGAAGAGAGAAAAAGAGGATGACCGGAAGGATAAGAAGATTGCGGATTCAGATGCTTCCAAGAAAGAGTCTCCTAGGGGTAAAAAAGACAGAGAAAAGGAGAAAGTGGGGCTGGAGAAAGGTACTAAAGCCAAGGAAAACAGGAGGAAATCAACGAATATCAAGGATGCTCCTCGTAAAGTGGCACCCAGAGACAAAGATGATAGAAGGGAAGAGAGAAGCTCTGCCAAACACGCGCACTTAGCCAAGGGAAATAACCAGAAGAGAAAGAGCTAAAACTGGAGCAGCAGCCTCTCAGGAAATGGTAATAGTCTTCATCGCGATTTGCTGCTAAAGGGCATAGAAAGCTTAGTATTGCTCTGGTTGGGGAAGATGTGTCATGTAGACATTGAATATATTTATTGGTGCTCAGCAAATAAATTCTTTGAAATTGAGGTACCTGTCTCATGCTCCCATGTTTAAAAGATGAAGTTTTTTAAAAATATGTAATAAAAATGTGATGTAATAGGGTCTGTTTTTATTAATTTATTGATCATATATCCAGATAAATGTATATATAATCTGAATTGTAATGAATTTCTTAAAATAGAATATCTTCATTGGAGTGAAGTAAGAATATTAAACTTTCAGATAGTATTTATATGCAGAGTGATTTGTAAGTTTTAGGAATGAGAAATAGGGGGTTAGGAAGTTACCTTCTTTTTCTGTTAGCTGGTTTTCTTCCCGCCTTCTCTTTCCTGCCTTCCCTTTCTTCTTCACCTGCCCTTTTCTTTCTCCTTCCCCCTTTCCTTCCTGTCTTTCTCTTCCTGCACTCTCCCCCGCCACCCCCAGCTCTCTCGGGATGTCTCTGCATGTCTCACTCCCGTGGCCCACTGGCTCCCCAGTCTCTCTGGGGACTGCCCCTTCCTGAGGCTCTTCCCCATTCAGCTCCACCTTCTACGTCTTTCATTCCCTCCGCCTTGGTCTTTGACAGTCTGCTTTACCTTCCTCTCCCCGCTCCTTGCCGCCTCACTCCTCACCCCTCCTCAGTGTCTGTCCGTTTCCAACCATCCCTCCCCCGCCTTCTCCTCTCGCCCTGTAATAAACACTGGATATTTACTGTGTTCTGAGAATTCTAGAACCAGCCTTGGATAAAAGAGAATTTTATGTAGAACAATTTTAGAACCCTTGTTTATGATATCTTTACAGGCGCAGAATCATTATAGAAAGGTTTTAATTATTTCAAATTGTAATGTACTTTTCATTTTGTATCACGATTTTTCAGTTACATTGTTGGAATGGTGCATATTTTTCATATTTGATTGTCTCATAGTTGTTTACCATTTCTAAGGAGTTGCCAATCTGAGATCTAATTAGAGATCAAAATTGAATTCAGAAAACATTTAATAAAATGAAATTTGAGTAAGAAGAACTTTTTGGCAAATAGTCTGTGCTGTTCTGCATGAAATCTTAAGTCTTTAATGGTGACTGCTGGCAAAATCCAGTTTCTGAATTTGAGGGGAGCACCCTGGTTTGTTGTAACAAAATTGTAAGTGCTGCCACAAAAATTCTATTTTTTTAAAAAATAATTCTTCAGCTTTTTCTTTTTTTTTTTTCTCCATTTATTTTTATTAGTTGGAGGCTAATTACTTTACATCATTACAGTAGTTTTTGTCATACATTGAAATGAATTAGCCATGGATTTACATGTATTCCCCATCCCGGTCCCCCCTCCCACCTCCCTCTCCACCCGATCCCTCTGGGTCTTCCCAGTGCACCAGGCCCGAGCACTTGTCTCATGCACCCAACCTGGGCTGGTGATCTGTTTCACCCTAGATAATATACATGTTTCAATGCTGTTCTCTTGAAACATCCCACCCTCGCCTTCTCCCAGAGTCCACAAGTCTGTTCTATACATCTGAGTCTCTTTTTCTATGAAGAGCTTTTAAAAGCAGAGATTTTGGTCCAGTTAAAGATATTTCAAGTCAGATATGGGGAAGCATTAAGTGTAAAATTTTCTAGAAGTATTGTGCATGTTTTATAATATTGTGGCAGCTTTTCCTGCTTAAAACAAAGCACATGCATTCATTCATTTAGTTGATAGGAATTCCAACCGATATAATAAAATTACACAGCATGGGGGCCTAGAGAATATCCGGTCTAATATCTGTACCCCAGTCCTATGATTTTATTGTTTAAAAACTGAGGCCCAAAGAAATTGTCACATGTGTTAATTTGGGGTTTTGTGTGCTGATCAGTCTGGATTATGTTGTTTTTATAGATCAATTCTAGGAGCACCATGTAATTCTAGTAAACCATGGAGAATTTTATGGCTCATTTGATTGGGAAATGTGGGGCATTGGCTTAAAGTGAATATTAATAGATCTCAAGTACACTCCTGTAATCAGAGCTGATTCTTTCTTGCTGTGTCCCCAAGTCTTGGTTCTGTTGATCTACATTTGATTTTATTCTCCATGGAGGTTCTACCACTTGATGAGAGTGGTAGCCTTCCACGGGTTCTGGTAACATCTTTCTAGTTTAGCCATCCTTGTGCAAAGATACAGTTTTCTGGGCTGGCTTCTGGAAAGAAGTCCTAGGAGTCCAGCTGTCCTGGTTGGGTCTGAAAGCATCTGTGGCCAATCCTATAGTTGGGGTTCAGTCTGTCTTCCCAGGCTGGCTCCTCTACATAAATCTTTGGGTGAGGGTTGGGGGGGGGTGCTGTCCCTCTCAAACCATGTGACGTTTTCTGCAGAAAAGAGTTTCTGGGAAAAGAAGAGGGAGGCTCTGATAACTGGACAGAGCGAAAAGCAGAACTATATTCACCAACCATATAAAATTATAACCTTTAAAAAACATATCCTGATGTTCGATCTTGCCAAGATAAATGGATGGAGTTTTTAAATTTATATACCAAATTTTTGTGTTAATTTCTGTACAGATGAGTTTTTTTCCCCTCCCTTGCAGAGAAGGGCAGAGGATTATAATTACCTTTAGCGAGGGCATTCTGGTAATTTTTACCTTGGTTTTTGAAGGATGATTAATCCTACAGGGCATAATGTACATAATTGCTAAACTGTAAGAAATTGGTGATAAAACTTTAGAAAAACTAATCAGTGTAAGCATATAAACATCTGGCTTTTTGCTTTTTTGTTGTTATTATTGTGTTGTTTTTAGTCACTTAGTCATGTCTGACTCTTTGGGACCCCACGGACTGTAGCCCCCCAGGCTCTTCTCTTCATGAGATTTCCCAAGCAAGAATACTGGAGTGTTGCTATTTAGCAAAGCACTTGAAAATATTTTAGTTCTATCATTGAATTTTCCTTTGAATCACAGCTCAAGAATTGAATTGAATTCAAACTTCTCTACTAAACATCAGAAACATTTCAAGAGCTCTTATGAACTGGGAATTGGCCTATATTCTTTCCTTCCATTTTCCTCAGTAAATAAAGCTGTCAACTGAATTTTATTGAAGTTGACGTGACACTTTACCCAGATGCATTGACACTTACTGTTCACCTGAAAAGCTTAGTGCAAGAGATACTTTTGGTCATGACTAATGGGTTAAAATTATGCTTGCTTCCTTAGTTTTGCTTGCTTTTTTACTCCGTACTTAATTATTTCTATATTCTGCTGCTTCATACTGTTTAGAGTAACTAAAACCAAAAGGTCACCCTTCGGAAACGTCAACTAAAAATAGGGACAAAGTTTCATAATTTGCAGTAGTTGGGAGTTAGAATAAGTCCTGAAAAGTGAAAATTAAGTACTAAGAGTATAAAGTATATATACCTTATATCACTAACAGGCTTCTTAAGTTGCACTAGGAGATGATGCATATAATTCTTAAAAAGTGATATTGTTGCATAATTTTCCTTAAACTTTGTATAACAACACTTTACATGTGAGAAGTAGTCATCGTATAGATGGTCAGATTTTCAAAAATATTTGAGAGCCTATCAGTTTTTCCAGGAATCTCTTATCTTTTAGTGTTCAAAATACTTTGTTTGGAAGCACTTTATCATCGTTGATTTTTTTTTCCCCTTCAGTTGTGATATGTAACTTCTGTGAGTCATTGGTTAATAGCTCTATGTGTTATTTCTAACATCACTTGTAATCAACCATTTAAAATCTTATTTTTTTAACAAAGTTTTTGGTTTCACTTTATGTATTTGCATTGTATACAGATGGTCCTGCAATATTTCAAAGTGAGGGAGAAAGTAAAGAAATTGACATATATCCATCAGCATGAAAGTTTGAGTGAATCCCAGGGAATGAATTCTGCAAACAGTTGGCTTATAGAGTATTTTGTAGTGTTATGGCCATACAACTTTGTAACTTCAGAGGTTCTCATAATGATTAGTTGGGTGACAAGGACTTCCTGTATAAACTTCTATTATAAAACAAAGAAAGGTAATAAACAAGTATGATTTTAAATGTTAATGTTCTAAGTTAATGGTAAATGTAATTTTCCATGAAATGAGTGTGGTGATTTAAACTATGTCCTCTGACTTTAATTCCTTTCTCATGTATCCCCCACTGTTTCTTCTGTTAATGTCCACTGATAACAGTTCTCCAAATCGATTACTCAGTTAATTCACTATAAAATGCATCCTGGAAATGCTGGTTTTCCTCTCCTTTCCCTCAAGGTGGTTGTGGGAATAACTGGCATTATCTGTGTGTGAGTGGCTAGTATGTTGTCAACACTCATGTTTCCCTTTCTTCTGGCAGAATAGTGATAATAATTCTACTAAGTTGTTTCAGTTAGCCGTTAAAAATTTGGAAGCACTGGGCCTATGATTCCCTCTCCCTCTTTTATCAACAGATGGTAGGACAGGTGCTTAAGTCCTTTATCCTTTGCAACTACTGTATTTTTGTGAAATGGGTGTACTGGGTCCTACTTTACTGAGATCTTTGAGGGGGGCATATAAAAGTAATTCTTTTATATTGTTACATATGTATTAAGCCACCAGAATGCCTAGTTAAAAGATACTGCTTAAACAGAAGATGTGAAATGTCAAGCCTAGAAAAAAGTAATGAAGAAATAAAATGTAGTCTTAAGTATATGGTATAATTGAGAAATTTCCTACCTAGTCTCATCTTGAAAAGCTTGCTTTTAAGTTTGCTTTGTACTCAGAACACATTTTTCCATGAAAGCAATTTTATGGTCTGCAGAGGTTTTGTACGCCAGTCCACAAAAACCTATTCAATTCCTCGTTTCCAGTTCCGCAAGTCTCAGTGTGACTGTGTTTCTCTGGAAAAGGCACTTGTCATTCTTCCTCAGAATATTAGGAACACATTTGGTTTTGCTTCTAAGTATTTTCCAGAATTCTTTTGATTACATGTGGGAATCTATTCAAATTAGCTTATGTGGACAAAAAAGCATTGATGCACTCACTTAACTGTAAAGTCCAAGGGTATTTGTAGGTTTTGGCCTTTGGTTATGCTAGGTCTGGGGGCTTGGAGAGTGGTCTGGATCTCTCTCTCCATCTTTGCACTCTTTCAGGAAGTGGTCTTCCTTCCCAGGTAACCTGCAGTCTCCTGTGGCTCATTTTTACTCCTTATCCATACAGAGTGGGGGATGGGATCGCAAAGCTATGACTACAAGACCGTGGGCCTGTGAGTACCACCCTTGAAACTGTGGGGTGATGGGAAGATCAGTCCCTCAATGCGAATTACTGTGCTTTTACCGGAAGAATTAGAACTCGGCGCAAGGCAGGCCACACAGTGACTGTTTGTACCCTGCACTTCATCTGAACCAAAGGCAGGCGGTTTAGGGA